TGGCACTTTGCGATAAATAAGTGGGTTTTGGGTTGCAGTTTGGGCACTTGGTCTCTAAAAGGGTCGCCATCACTGGTCTAGGCTTTCACAAAGAGTGTGAAGATATATCTTTTTCATTTAACCTTTTAAAAGGTGCAGGTTTATTGGTTTTACTTTTTAATGCTTTTTGATAGATTTTTAGTAGCATTTAAATGCTGTAATTAAATTGCCACTCTCCCACAGCCCCCAGTCAAAGTCATCTGCATCTCACTCTGCATGAAGCATACTGAGAATTTTAGGGCATTATTTCTTTCTACCCTTGCATAGGATTGCATCCTAATTCTTTCTTTTCCCTCAGGATACTCATGTACTGGAGAAACCGGCTATTGGTGTATGTTTAGTCAAAATTTGATCTTTTCTCGCCTTCAAGGGACAACTGCCGGAAAGATTCCACTGAAGCATCAAATGTGAAGCCTTAGATTTGATCCATATCACTTCACCATATTTATTTTTCAAAATTAGATTTAGGTTGCCCTGAGCAGATTCTCAGGCAGTATACAAAACACAATTTAAAAATCCTAAACTATACAACAAGACAACAAACTAATCTTAAAACAGTTTTTCTGCCCCAAATCACACAATCCTCTTTCCTTTCCTAAACTTCCCACAATAAACACCACCTATTTTGTTGTAAACTTGCTCCATGTTTGTGTGTTGGCCAACACCTGGGGAACCTAGTTCCTCTGAGCATGTCTGGGCAGCCCAGAAACTTTCCTACCATGAATTCACCAGGGATCACTCTCTTCTTGGAGAACCCTGTGGACCAGCAAACCCACAGGAGCACAGGAGGCGGCCTTGTCCCGGGCCAAACCACCAGCTGGCCTGCTTTTGCTGACAATGAGCGGTCCCAGTCCTACCTGGAGATGGCAGAGATTCTGCCCCGGCCTTTCCACAGGCGAAGCTGCGCCCTAGCACGGCACCTCTTCTGCTTGAAACAGGAACCTTCTCCCGCTTACAAATGGCAGTGCTTTATTTGGTCTAACCAGCTGAAAGCCACAGAGGTTGCTGGAGGACGGGGCCTGCTGAAGAAGCCTCTCCACACATCTACTGGGCCAGTGCCTTCTGCAACATCTTCCTCCTGTGCTTGAAACACACCAAGTACCTGGAAGGGAGCGCTCAGGTTCAGCGAAGAGCCATGCCTGGGTGTGCTTGAACCGCAGTGCGGCCTAGTCTTCACATGGCAGCAGGATGAAGTGACAGCATGCGGAGAGGGCTGTCCCGCCTCCCAGAACAGGCCCAGGAGCGAGGCCTTCTTAACCTAGGCTTGCTGTGGCTGTGAGCGGCTGTACTGGCCCAGCACGATCCAGCCAGCTGCCCCAGGGAGACGCTGCTCTCAGACGCTGAGGAGTCACGCTCCCCTTTTTGAGTATATTGATTCCCCTCCCCCCCCACCCTCAGTCCCAATATAGGGTGAGATTCAAAATGGTGCGTGCAGTGCTGCTGAAGGGCACCAGTAGGCCAAGAGCACCTTCCTTCTCTCAACAGGCCTTCAGGAGGCTCCAAGATTGATATGGAATCAGCATTCCAGGATTAATTGCAATGGTGGCCCTTTGTTTCCTGAGCTTCCCTGGAATCTGGGGGCAGGCAAAATATGGCTGCACAGCAGTGGAGGCAGCAATGGGGAGAGTCCAGGTGGTTTGGGGCACCATTGCTTTTCACTGTTGCTGCCTAGTTGGAAAACTGGGACCAGCCAGACAGCAGAGGGGGAATGTGACGTTTTAATCACTAACGACCCTGCTGAGGATCCTTCCTCTCTCCAAGAGGACATACCTCCCCAAAGGGAATCATTCCCTGTTATTTAAGAAATACCAAACTAGAGGAGGAAATCAGAGGCTAGAAAATGGGATAAGGAAGACCAAAGGTATAAACCTATCCAAGTTTAAATAGGAAAAAAAAATCCTAAATCTCCCAGCATTCTGCAGCCAGCATTGCTTTTTTTTGGGAATGCTGGAAGTTGTAGTTCTGTCTGTCTAAACATGCATAGGATTTAGGAAAGCCATTTGTTAAACATTACTCACAGTGCATAAATTAAGCACATACCAACTCAGCTTGGTCTAAGTTATCCTGTCTCAATAATGCATGCTTTTGAATGTTCTAAATGAGAAAGAAGTTACCAACATGGAGACATTAGGGAATGTTTTGTGGGACCATGAGGACTAGAATCTTGATTTTGCATATTTATCTGAAAAACAATTAGGCTGATATTCACAGACCCCCAATTCAAACCCTAATCACATTTCATGCTAGCAGACAGTCACACTCCTACTAAGATTTTGGGTGAATAAGCAGTTGTGTGACAAGTCAATTGGAACAGCAAGAAGTCCCAGGTGCTTGAGGAGGGGAGGATGGTCTTATGAATCACAATAGGGTTTATAGGACTAATACCCTGTAGCTTATTTGGGAAGGAAGGCATGTAGAGACAGGAGGATCAGGATCCCTAAAAGTCTGGATTCCTGAATCCCATGGGAAAGCGGAGCTATCTACTCACACAAGCGTAACTGAAGTCAGCAGCACGGACTCGCAGACGAGGAACACGTAAAGAACGACTTCATTGTATTCTGCAAGATGTCTGTCTTCCACTAGGAAGGAACGGAAACACCCTTTCAAGCTAGTTTGTGGGTTGGCGTGACCCTCCCTGTCTGCAGCCCAGTCCAGCCACCTAAATGGCAGCTTCTGCATTGGAAGAGCAAGTAATTTGGGATGTGTTTCCTCCTCGACACAGGCCTTGGGGGCCAACTGGGAGGACAGACAGTGAAAGTGCCAATGTGACCCTTGAATATGTATTCCCAGAACAATTTTTATTACAGGTTACTGGGAGCTTCTCTACATGGGGCATTTATTGTGTGCTTGTGATCATGCAAGCTTAGGGGCCTTTTCACAACATTGTTGTCTTCCAGAGCATCTCCTGTGTTTTCCAGAGTTTTTCACAATATATTTTACAGGGAGGAAAAGCTGGTATTAAATTTTAAATCATGACAAATTGAAACAAAAGCCTCACATACTGCGTCAAAGCTGCCTAGCACAGCCATACCACAGTGCCACCTTGTGGTTGGGGAAACCCTGATAAAGCATGCAATTTTCTGCCAAGAATGAAAATGGAAAAAAGGCAGCGTGTTAGCCATTTTATGCAGAAGCCTTGAGAGAACACGTGTGTGTGTGTGTGTGTGTAAAATTATCTGCTGGCAGCTTCCCAACCTGGCCTGTTTTTCTCCCCCAACTCCAGCTGCTATGACTTTTTTCCTCATCCTCCACTATCACCTCATTTTTGCGTCTTTTTAATTTCTTCTGCCTTATTTCCACATGCCTTTTATCCACTGAGTTGCCACCTCTTTGTCCAGTTGGGACGGCAGCCCCTTGAACTCTTACTTCCATTGCCAATGTGGGGCACGGTGCCCTTTCCTGCAGCCGCTCAGTGTCCTCTTCCCACTCGCAACGGGACTGTGCCAGTGTGGCGTAATGGTTGAGAGTGTGGGACTGGGACTCGGGAGACCTGACTTCTAGTCCCCGCTCAGCCATGGAGCCAACTGGGTGACTTTGGGCCAGTCACGGACTCCCAGCCCAACCTACCTCACAGGGTTGTTGTTGTGGGGGTAAGATTGGGTGCAGGAGGAGGAGAATTATGTAATTGCTTTGAGCTCTTTAAAAAGAAGAAAAGTGGGATATAAATAAATAAATAGGTATAACTGAAAGCAGAACCTCAAAAGGGTCCCCTTTCCATCCCCTGTCATACCTCCGCAGAGCTCTCCATCAAAACACTGGGTGGCAATACGCAGGCAGGTCCAGCAATCCAAGATGGGGCCCTCAGTCACAGCTAGGGGAAAAAACCCACATGACACTGATTGACTGACTGACTTTTGAGTAGATTGCTCCCTTCCCTTAGGCTGGGGAGAATTTGCAAGAGATTAATAACAACAATAGTTAAAATTTCAACTCAACCCAAACACACTAGGGCTGGGAACTGCCGGCTCCTGGGGAACATGTTGCTCATGAGTTCCCCACATGCAAGGGGGCGGCCCTTGGACTAGAGGGACCCTGCACTGTTCTTCAGTTCTTATGTCCATACCAGGGACACATCCAGTTCTGCTCCCAGGGATGATGGAACGAAACAGGCACGTTTTGAAGGATTTTGAAGGAATGCCATAATGGCAGGGGAGTTGTGCTTCATACTTACTGCAGTCCTCTGAACATGCTGAGGGGAGGGTGAGAATGGAAGAAGAAAAGATAAGATTGGTTAGAGACCTAAATCTCTGAAGGAATCTTCCCTATCTAGTATGCAATTTATTTATTTAGCTAACATTTTAATTTATCCTGGCCTATAACAAAAAGTTCTCAGGGTGGCTCACTCAACAAAATAGGTTAAGGGGACAACTCTATGCATATGTATAAATTAATGTCTAAAATGTCTATATGAAATGTATAAACTGTTATCAATGGTTATTTTATTTTCATAAAATTAATAAACTATGTGCTATGGGGGCCGTTTTGTTTCTTTGTTTGGAGTACTGTATTATGTGCATCACACAGCCTGTATATTGGTTAATTATGTGTTAGCTAACTCATTAACTTAGACAGCACAAGGAACCCAACCCAGAATAGCAATATAATGACAGTCTGTTTCCCTTTATATCTTATACTGAAGCTCTTCCTCCAAGAAGCCTGGACCTTCTAAATACAAATGAGTGCATTTTTAATCCGCTGCAGCTAATGCAATTCAGCGGGTCGCCCGCTGGCTTCCTTTTGTTGCTCTGCCTGCAAACCTCCCTTAACTAGTAGCATGTAGTGCAAACTGCAGTCAGTCTTGCATATTGTGCAGTGTGGACTTGTGTATTGGTCATCCCTCAACACCTCACTGCTGTTTCAACTGTGTACTTTCAGTTGTACATTGGTTTCTTTTTAAGCTGTAGCATTCATACTACTTTTGGGGAAAGAAGACCCTTGCCCAACTGTGAGTAAAACACTGTAACCAGAAGCACTCCTGCCTCTTTGGCATTATGAAGTCAACATTAGTAAAGAGATGGAGCAATGATACTGGGAATTTAGTTCCCTGGTTTCCCTTCGGGATTGCTACCAAGATCAGCAAATTTCTCCAGCATCTTCTGCATGCGGCTTCGCAGGGAGACTCTGAGCTGGTACATGGAAAGTTGCCACAGGAGAACTCCTATAGGAGAGGGAGGAAGAGGTAAATGTTGTAAGGTGGTGGGTGGGGGGGGAGCAGGGCAAGAGAATTCATACTGAGTTGGATTACAAGTTCAGCCTGACAATGTTGGAGGATTTGGGGGTAAGTGCGCAATGTAGGAAGGCTTGTCCCCTTAAACCTGAGTCACAGCAGGAAAGACTCTTGTCATCTGCAGCGGGCAACTTGCCCCTTCTGTAGGCCAGATGCTTTGGCCTACAACTCCCATCATTCCTAGTTTTGCATGGATTTAAGATTAGGAATATGTTTTGGATAATGCTTACGTTTAAAACAACTTGTCCCAATTTGTTGGAGCCCTTCGGGCTTGCATAACTCATGACCCACCAGGCGGAAAGTAATCTGTAGGGCAGGTTTTGCAGCCATTTTGCTCAGAGCTCCCTGTTGCTGTAGTGCCAAGGAAAGGACAGGCTTGCTTAGGGTGGCCATGAGTCTTAGCTTATAGAGGACAAGTCAGGTCCAAGTCAGGTTTAACAGTAAAGGAGAAGAGCAGCAGAAGCCTTGAGGCATCAACAGCTCCCACCAGGGCGGGAGACCCATTGTACCTCTATCTAAATTACTGCAATTATTTCAAATTCCACAGCTAAACATAGCAATCGGCATCTGCACATTGTATGCATGAGTTTCCTCTTTTGGGGTGATGTTTGAGGGGTCACCCAAGCCTCACTGAATCTGAATCCAGCCTGGCTTATCAGCTGCACTTGACGCGGTGGACCACGAGTTGTCCAGTCCTGCTCTAATTTCGTCTTGGGTTAAGCAGGTCACAGCTTCACAATGCACAGCAACGCCCCGCCGCCCCCAGTCTGGTGTTCCCCTGATAGGCTGAACTACAACTGCTGTCATCTCCAAACAGCACAGCCATTGGTCAGGCCAGGGGAGGGATACCAGGAGTTGCCTTCCAGGACTATGCTAGGAAAGAGAACTACTTTACGGAGTGACTGGATTTCCAGCCTCAAGAGAATCATGTGAAAAACTGGCAGGAGGTGCCTGCAGCCCAGTTGCCACTGTGCTTCCCATGTCCCGCTTCTACATTTCCTGCGCTCACCTTTCCACGTGCCATTTTTCTTCATCGCTCGCAACTGATTGATAATGTCTGCTTTGAGAGACATCACTCCGCGGACATCTGCAAAGAGACGCATCCACAGATATAAGCCCAGCCTTGCTAGGCCCCCTCTCTGTCCTTGCTTCCCCAGCTCTGCCAAGGCTTCTTCATGCAGGCCGCACCCAGAATCCGCTCGTATTTCTTCTGGAGGAAGGTGCCATGCAGAGCGGCCAAGGCCTGGATGTGCCGTTCGATGAAGGAGTCCCGGTCAGGCAGGTCTTCCGGCAACGTTTCCTTCAGCACGGTTGCCACCGAGTCCAAGAAGCGGCGGTCACACTGAAGGCACCCAGCCACTGCTTGGCAGGATAAGAGCCACAGGGGAAACACCAGCAGAGATTGGGGCACCATAGCCGCAGCAGCTGCCCCAGGGGCTTGTGCCGTCGCCAAGGGATCCCCCGTGCTGCCAGAGAAGTAGCTCCTTGACGCCAGGAAACGTTGCCAAGGAAAGAGGCGGTGCGCTTGGCGTGAGTCTCTTGTGATGCTGGAAGTAGAACAGGAAGTGATGCAAGAAGCAAGTGAGGAGGCTGGCGAGTAGAAGAGCAGCTGATAGCAGGGGCTGGATGGGAAGTGGAGCCTTTGCTGTGGCATCCATGGTTAAAGTGTCTCTGCTAGGATTTCTCGCTTGGGCCTTGCCCACGCAACTGGCTGGCACATGCCTCCACTGCTGGCCAGATGCTGCTCTGTACTTTGGCTACGATGCTTATCTGCTGCTTGGCCGGGACTCGGAGGCCACCGACACACTGGGAAAGCTTTTCCTGGGGAAAGCAGGGGATCCTGCCTCCTACAGCAGAGGATTTCTGGGTATGGCATTAAGGGAAGAGGAAGGGCCGAGCAATTGAGAAGGAATGCACCAAAAGGTATCATGGAGAAGCCAGTGTCTTAAGCTGGAATAGAACAGTCCATTCTGCTGTCAGTTGTTCATACTGGGTCAGATTTAGACATGTTGTTACATGCCATCAAATTGTCTCTGACTTATGGTGACCCTATGAATGGATACCCTCCAAAATGTCCTGTCCATGATAGCCCTGCTTGGCTCTTGTGAGTGTATTCAGAATAGATCCATTAAAAGAAGTGTTACTTAAATTACTTGTGACTAACTTATCTACAATTTGTATCAAGGGGTCTACTCTTAAGTATGACTGAATCTGGATCCAGTCCATTGACCTTGGGCAGCACCATGATAGGAACCACTGTACAGCAAGTCCATCCATAGTACATGGTACAAAAACCATTGTTGAACAAATGTTCAGGAAAATCAGGATTAGGCTGCGCTGGGCCAATGGCAAAGTTGCTAAGAGAATTATCTGGCAAAGTCAGCCATACTAAGGGGCTACCCAAGCACAGTTTATATAAGACAGGAGTGTTGAGGCTCAGGCCAGCAGGTGAAATCCAGCACACCTGAAGACAACATCCATCCGCCGGGGTCCACAAGGCCTAGTTACTGGCTGGTATTTTTGGAAATGTTGCCCCACCCACTAGTGGAATTCAACCCCTGTGTGCTTATCTGAAATTTGGCCCTTGGGCTGAAAGCGGCTTGACTGGAGTAATAAGTCCGCCTGCCAATCCAGAATCCAAGATGGAGGCTGTTTGACTTCTGAGGCAGAAGGGAAGGAAGCAGCCTTGCCATAAGGTGGGGACACAGTGGCCTCAGGGAGCAGCTTTTGGGTGCCATAAAAGGGCAGCAGATGATTTCATATTTACCTCATTAAGATAGTATTTCTATGGCCAGGAAAGGGGAGAGGTGCTTATGGGATTTTCTGCCTCATGTACCAACATACCAGGGCTAGGTTTGGGCACTGTGTACCCTGACTCAGGTGTGTGTGTGTACACACATGTGCGCACGGGCACGCATGCATGGGGGTGGGATTTCCTGCATTGCCTCAGGCAGTAGATGTCTTGGGCTGGCCCTGGTTGCTAATGCCATACTATGATAAAGGAATGAGGGCTGTTTTGTTAGCTTGAATGACTGAAAGGAGGAAGGTTTGCTTCTGTGCATTTTGAGCTCAGGATCCTGAGGGCAATATGGAATCCTTCCCTTCTTGGTTGTCACTCTCTGCGGTGTGGGTGGGAGGAGAGGAGCAGAGGACCCTTCTGGATAAAGGCTCAGCCGTGGGTGGAGTGGATTCTGTGAAGGCACAGAAGGCTCCCAGCACCCAATCACGCATGGCAGTGCTCTTGGTGCGCCGTTGGGTTCTGCGGATTCTTTTCTCCATTTCTTGCTCCCTCAGTGTCCTCAGGAAGCTTTGGGTTCCTCAGAAGCTTAGCAGGAGTTCCTAATGGCAGACAAACTGTCAACATGTTTATCTGAATCAGGAGAGTTTGTGCTCATCTTGAAACAGCATCTGGATGTAATTATGGCTTCAACGAGGGCTAAGAAACAGAGGGCAAATCCTGGTCTGACAGAGACCCTGTGGGTTGGCAGTTTGCAGGTCTGGGAATTGGGCTGCCAGCCTGTTCTGAACGGGGTTCTATTCCCCCTGCAATTTGGGGTTGTTCCCGGATTCAGCTGGTGGGTTCTGGAGAGGGGTTGGCCGTGCACAAAAGACAGAATTAGCCCCAGACTTCAGACTGGTCTTGCTGTCTGCTCTTTGGTCTGCAGAACGGGAGCACATGGAGCGTGAGGCGGGAACTCTCTTCCTTCACCTTGACCGGATTATCAAGAAAAACAGTAACGGTAGGAGCTGGCCTGTTCCTCTTTCCAGACATTTGCTGTACAACTGCAATCAGGCAGTAGCTTGATAAGCCACATCCTTTTCATGATGGACACAGTTAATATTTTGGATGGCTGCTGGTCAAACAGGACAGAAAAGGGCAAGCACAGTGTCACAGCATTTCTCTAGTTGTGGGGTAGGGACAAATATTCACTAGGATGGCATTTACAGAAGAGGACACTCGATTGCATACAATTTGTAAATTCCAGTCCATATTTCTAGAAGCAAATGTAATAATAATTACTCTCATTGAAACAGAAGGATAATAGATCCTACCATAGTGGGAGAAAGTGGTGACCACGCAAGCAGTGTGCTTGCTGAACCTGCCTTCCAGCTAGCTGCTGATGGACAAGTTCAAGGCCGCTGCAGTTCACCTGTTGTCTTACGGAAAGTGCTTCAGGCAGAGGACCTCCGACAGCCTTTCAGCGAGAGGACTGCCCCCTGTAAAGTAAGACACACAGGCAGGCTAGGTTTCATCCGCAGTGGTCAATGAGCTTAAGAGTCCCAGAATAGCACTGTGGGATCAGAAGGCAAGTGGCCGCATGCGGCTGGTTCCAGGCAGTTTTCCCTTCTCTGCTTGGAGGTGTCACAGAGGGATGGTGCCCGGAGCCTCGGCACGCAAAGCAGGGACTCTTCCGCTAAGTTACAACCCCTTCCCTGATCCGGCTTCATCACTGCCCTTCTTCAGACCGTGCAAATGTCAATAGGAAGAGCTGAGGTGAGCAGCATCCTTTGCTCACCTCAACACTCCCCCATGCCTGCCGCTTCTGCCTGACAATGGAGACAAGGAAGTTGTGCAGGGTGGAGCGGGCAAAGGGGCGGCACTGAATACCGACAAGCGTTTTGCAAGGGCTCAGACAGGGCACTCACAAAGCACTTGAGGAATCAACTCGTGTGTTCCCCAAAGGTGGATCCTTTTTAGGTTCGTCTTCAGAATGCTCAAGGACAATGTGTATTTTTAATAGACCATATAGATCACACGTGTATTAATTTGGAGGTTATTTCTGGAGTACTGAGCTCTCGGGCAAAGAGAAGAGCTGCCCACAGGCAACTGATATTATAAGAATTCTGTGCTGTTGCTGCGGGATGGAGATATGAGTGGGCCCTCCATTTTGCTCACCCGGCCATCCTGCTTCTTCGAGAACCCCTGCCCACTCAGTTGATTCTCACTCTGGGACAGATTCCTCAATCTAGAATCCTTCAAATGCGTTGGACTACCCATAATTCCCAGCCAGTAGGGCCAATGTGAATTATGGGAGTTGCAGTTTGAGCTTGGTTGCTACGTTGGGGAAGGCTGCCTTGGGTCTAGAAATGATGTCCTAGGCAAGGACCTTGGTGGGTGCAAACACCCTCTGTCCCACTTCTATTCATTAACAGACCAGTACATTAAAAATGACGCATTAAAACATGACCAAGAACAACATTCTAGGGCATTTGAGAAAATTGTTATTTGAAGAACGTCTGGGAGGTGCCATGAGACTTTATAGTTGGTTTAGCGGCTTCTCCTAGTTTGGGAAAAATCCTTTCACATATGGAATATCCAAAGCACTTCGTTTTAGCAGCCTTATCAGATGCCCTCACACCAGGTGTCACTTGAGTGCTAGACCTGGTCCTGGCTCTAACCTTTCTGTAGAGGTTTGGCTTCGGTCACCTGCCTCCTTTATCCACAGATCGTGAACTCCTTATGAAGGAGGCAGAATCGGAAAAAAAGAACTTCATCAAGCGATTGGAAGAGGCATCTAAAGCCTTCTTGAAGGAACGTAAGTGCCTCCCGCACCCCACATTCCTCAACTCGTGTTAATGAAAGGTGCACAACCATAGGAAGCTTCCTTGTTTTAGGCTGCATGACTGGGAGGCCATGGGGTGCCCATGCAAGCCAGCAAATATCCTGGCATCTCTCTTGATGCTGCCCAAGACGTCCAGGTGCTCACTGTGGATGGGCAGTTTTGGAGCCCTTCCTGCCCTCTTCTCCCTTCTTCTTCTGGCTCTTTACCTACAAACTGGACTTGAACAGGACCACTCTTCCACTAGAGGACTGGGCTCATTAAAGTAGGGCACATGGCCACTCTGTGAGCCCAGCCATATTGAAAGCAATGTGAAGAGGTTGTATGGCACTGTTTATGGAGTGGCAAGAACCAAGGAATGTCTTTGTATGCACAGTGGTAAGGGCCAAGGAAGATGTTATGTACAGATGAATCCAATGTTGCCTCAAGCAGCTTTTTTGAAATGGGAAAAGTGGCTCCTGGTGAACAGGATCTGCCAGAAAGGCTTCCCCCACCAGCCCTGATGGCAGGTTTATGGGGGCCCTTGGGGAAGGCAGCTTGTATGGGTCTCTTCCCATAGTAAGCCTGCTTTTTCACTACCGCTGTCACCAGCAATTCCTCCCCCTTTTCTTCATCACTGCTACTTCCTGCCAGCAAGGAAGCCAGCCCTGGCATCTGCAGCTGCTGCCTTTCACCACCACGGCTGTCAGGACCAAAGTGTGAGGTGGGTTATCATGCAGGTTACAGAGGTGAAGAAAAGGGACCTTTGTGAGCAGCTTCCTGCCAGAGCAGTGGCTCTTGGGAAAGCTCCAAATATGTTGAGCCTTGACCCTGACCTTGTCCTTGCACACCCGTACTCACAAGGACCTGCATT